AATCTCATGCCATTCTGTCATTGTTTCCTAGCATAAAACAATGTATTTTAATGTAGGCGCATGGTAAATTATAAGGGTTGGATATAAGAATATTGGTACAGACTCAGATGTTTATTCTGTATCCCCGTTCCCTCATTTGATTGGCACTGTTATTTCCATTTCTTCTGTCAGTTTAGGTCATGTCTTCTGTGTAGCTTGGATCACTTTTTCATGCTGGAAGTGAAGATTCTTTACTTTTTAGAGGCTATGTGGCGTCTTTGAATGATGTGCTGTTTCATGCTGCTCTTCCAGTTCTGCAAAGGTTTTCATATGAGAAGAGAGCACAGCAGCGTGTGCTCTGCATGTGAGTTCCGTGGCACTTGCTTTCTAGACAGGTCATGGTGTTTTGCTGCTCTGAAAAACAGTGTTGCACAAAGTGGCTTTGGACTCGCAAATGAAATACTGCTCTAAAGGACTGAAATGTTTGATTCTAATCGTGAGCAAAATAGTGGTATATTCTTTTTAGCATTGTAAGGAAATAATATGTGGTTTCTCTTAACTGTACTGAATATCATAATTTAGTTAGAAAAAGAACATGGGAAGAGCCAGAATAACTATGCTTTTGTCCATCTACCATATAACACTTCGGACATTACTTCTCAAAGAGTAATTTGTTTCTTGAAAAAGAGATTCGAAAGAACATATTATTTATTCCTTTTAGAATATCATGTATGTGAGAATTCAGGAAATGGGTTCCTACAAATTTAGGAAATAGCATAACTTTTAAAATATTGAACAGTTTTACCCTAAGATATTAAAGGCAAATTCTCTTGTGACTTACAGTGAAATAATAATTCAGGAGTCTAATACTGACAGAAAAACACTTCCTTGTTTCATTGAAGAAGTACTTTTGCGTATTTTTTGCAACGTGTGCAATGTATATATCTTAGGTCCATAAGCAATGAGTGTATATGAATCACCTAACACAGGTTATCTCATTCTGATATTACTAGGGTGTTAAAAATAGGAAAGTAGTAATGCTACATTCAGTACTGTGTCACTTTTAGAGAGCTTTCTTGTATTAGATACAACATAGTTGCAGAGTTAAGGGAAAGGCTTGTGCACTAGATATACAGTGGTACCTTGGTTCACCAAATTGTTTACAAACAAAAGCATTTGTGAACCGAGGTATTAATGAACTTGGGTTTTAATCCTGACCACCATGTGACTGTTTATGTGACTCTGGACAAGCCTGTATTTTTTTTAAATTTTATTTTTATTTTATGGAAAAAAGGTTAAAAAATTCATAACAAAATAATAGAACAACAATAGTTAATATTACATGTTGTTATCTTTTAAGTAGCTACTCAGGGTACAAGATATGGGCATAAAAATTTCTCCAATCGATATTAGCACAGACTTTCCTTTTTACTGATCTGAGACACGAATAGTATAACCAACTTGCATTTTATCCCCTTTTCCCTCCTGTTCTTTCCTCTTTCACTCATCTTAGTGCTTTTTTGCTTTTGAGCAATTTCTTCCCATTTCACAATATCTGATGTACATTTTATACCTTATTTACTCTTTAACTTATTTACTCTTTTCTCACACCAGGGGGCCAATATGATGTTAGGGTGAGATGGAATCTCAGTGTTGTTTTAATTTGCATTTCTTGGATGACCAAAGATGTTGAACATTTTTTCATATATTTATTTGCCATTTGTATTTCTTCATCTGAGAAGTGTGTATTCATCTCAGGTGCCCATTTTTGGAGTGGATCTTTGAATTTGGGAGAGGGTCTGATTCTTTTCAGTTCTTTATATGTTCTAGGTAGAAGTCCTTTGAGTGAGGGACAATTGGCTAAATTTTTTTCCCACTCCGTGGGTTGTCTTTTCACTGTGTTGGTGATTTCTTTTGCTATGCAAAAGCTTTTTAATAAGATGAGATCCCAGTTGTTGGTTTTTTGAAGTATTTCCCATGCAATCAAGTTTTCATGAACTCTCTACCTATACTTCTGTCTTCAGGATTTCTGTCTACTTTCTCTTTCCAATAGATTGTTTCTGTTTTAATATTTAGATCTTTAATCTATTTTGACTTCAGTACAGCGCATGGTGATAGACATGGGTCTAGTTTTAGTCTTTGGCATGTGGAGAGCTAGTTTTCCCAGCACCATTTATTAAAGAGGAATCCTCCTTCCGGTGAACATGTTTGGCCCCTTTCTCAAAGATAAAGTGGCTGAGTGTGTTTGTAGTGGTGTCTGCATCTTCTAATCTGTTCCAGTGGTCCTTGGGTCTGTTTTTTTATTGTTGTTTTTGCCAGTACCATGCTGATTTTATCACAGTAGCTTTGTAGTATAATTTCAAGTCAGGGATTGTGATGCCTCCTCCATTTCCTTTGTTGCCCAGGATTGTCTTTACTATTCCAGGTCTCTTCTGTTTCCAAATGAATTTTAAGAACGTTTTCTCTAGTTCTGTGAGGTATGCTAATGGCACTTTGATCAAGATTGCATTAAATCTATGTAACAGCTTTGGGAGTATTGCCATTTTTACTATGTTGGTTCTTCCTGTTCATAAGCAAGGGATATCTTTCCATTTTCTGATATTCTGTTTGATCTCCTTTCTCAGTACTGTAACTTTCAATATATAGAACTTTTACTTCCTTTGTCAGATTGATTCCTAAGTATTTCTTTTTTTGGATGCTATTGTGAAAGGTGTGATTTCCCTAAATTCTCTCTCAGTGAGTTTGTTGTTTGCGTACAGGAATGCTATTGATTTTTGAGTGTTGACTTTGTATCCAGCTGTGCTACTGAATTTAGTTATTAAATCTAGAAACCTTTTAGCCAGACAAGAGAGACAAATAAAAAGAATACGGATAAGAAAGGAAGAAGTTAAATTATCATTATTTGCAGATGACATGGTACTCTATATAGAAGAAACCCAAACCTCCACCAAAAGCCTATATGATTTATTTGGAAAACCAGGGTAAAAATAATATCTACTCTGTGTGATGACCATGAAGATGAGTGAAATAAAGCGCACTTACATGGTCCCCAGGCTGCAGCAAACAGCTAGTGAATGTTAGCTTTGCGACAAGTTTGGAAGTAGGCAAGAAAATGATTCTTTCCTGCTTTGTGTGTAGAGCAAGGAGATGGTGCAGAGAGATTCTGTGACATTCCCCAGCTACATAGAGCTAAATATGTGGAACACTCAAGAACAGAAGAAGAAAATTAAACATAGGACTTGGGATTGCTGATACAGTACCTCGGTGGAGAAGATAAATGAATTTATAAGAATGGAGAGAAATTGGACATAGGATGAAATAGATACGATTTGATAGTTCCTAACTTCTACATACTTTTGAGACCTATGGAAATACTTTGTGTTAGTATTAGCTATAAAGTTACCTTGAAATGAGTTAAAGTAATGTAGATTTGGACACAGGGGATGTGCCCAAAGGTGAGGTTGTACCGTGCTTGTTTAGTTTTGGGTAACAGAATTCATAAGGTTTTTTTTTTTATCTTTTGCAATTTGTTATTTATTAATTCACTCTTCAAAACAGTCATTCAGCTTTCCATTCAAACCAGTACTCACTGTGGGCCAATATCATCCCTTATAACATGGAAACGTTTAGGCACAATATCTGACCTTAAGGAGTTTGTTGGTCTAGTAAAGAGGATAAGTGTGTAAATGAATAAATTTCTGCCAAAGGAGTAAATGTGATAGTAAAGTCAGGCATGAGAGATCCATAGAAAACTAGGATAGAAGTTAGCACTATGCTTATCTTTTTAGAAAGAGGATTCTTGATAGAAATGGTGTTTGATTTTTTTTTTTTTAAGAGCAAATGGGAATTTCCTAGGTAAAAAGCTCTGAATTTTCTCTTATTTATGAGTGATGAGTTTACTTATATTTCTCAGACATTTGTTCACTGCTTCTTACTGTCTGTTACCAAGTTATTTTTTCTCATGCATTTAGAATCGCTGTAATAGCTGGTTTCTCAAAGCTCTCCCAGCTTAGCCTTCAGGTTGATTGCAGTCTGAAACTCTCAACCATGGTACAAAGACCATCCATTGTATGGAGTTGTGACTGGACAGGGACATTTCTTTATTGGAAAGAATATAAAATTATTTCTGAAAGTATCTTTGAAATGTTTGAATTTACCTTGATACATTGGAGGTATTTTTATTTTTTTAAGTACCAGGAATTGAACTCAGGACCTTGCTCTTGCCAGGCAGGCGCTTGTGCCACTGAGCTATATACCCGGCCCCTATTGGAGGTATTTTGGAAGACTTTTTAAAAAAAGTACAATAGTATCCCATGGGCTTAAAATTCACTGCAGGTTGCTTTAGAAGAGGAAATTTATAAAATCTGGTTAAGTTTGATACAGAGGTTCACCAGTCCCTCATATATTCTGCTGTTTCCACTTTGAAATAGTAAGTTACCAGCATTTTTAAATGTTATTTATTTTATCATATGTAGTATAATATAAGGCCATTTCTGTGTTAAATGAATAAACACAAGTATGGTTTTCTCTCAAAAGAGGAATCAAATTATTTACTAGAAAGAGACACAGGTTTATCTCTTTTATTTCAAAGTACTTGTTTTTTAGAAGAACTGGAAATTTTACTAATTCAGCTCTTTTTGAAATATCTTTTTTGTAAGCCAAGTGTTGTGTCTCTCTTAAGATTGAAATTTAGGTCAAATTACAACTTGAATGTAACTTTACTACAGAAAATAAGTGTGCCATCTTTTAAAACTGCGTTCTAAATTTTAAGCACAATAGATCAAAGTACATCTTATTTAAATAAACTCTGGAATGAAGTCTCAATTATTTTTTTTTTACCAAACTTTCTTAAAATAGTCACTGTTTTCAGTATAAAATGTGTAGTTTAGCTTTTTTAATTTCAAGAGAGATGAAAAGTTGTTTATTTTAAAATTTTAATGATTTAGCTTTTAAATTATGGAAATTCTCCTTTGGGGACAGCTTTATTTGAATTGTATGTGACATTATTTTTATTTCTTAAGGCTATGATTAAAAGTTTCATGGATGTCTACCAGCTTGCAAGTGCTAGAATTGCTACATTAGAGAAGGAAATAACATCTCATCGAAGTCACATTGCAACCTTGAAGTCAGAGCTGCACACAGCTTGTTTACGTGAAAATGAAAGTTTACAATCAGTAAGTCCTTGTGTAACAGTGTTTTTTTGTCTTTGGATCTTGGATCACATTTGCATTTATGTTTCTGTTGCTCATAAGATCACTTGCCAATATGTATAATTTGGGGTAGATGATCAATCAAGCAACAAAATTAGTGTGGAGAAAATCTTGAAGGAAGAAAAGCAATTAATTTTTTCATTGTATCATGTATAAAGATGTGCATATTGTTATCAGCACCGAAACACTGCATCAAGATTCCTTTGTGTTTGGCAGCGCGGCTGACAGTTGGATTTGGCATCATGCATAGTTAAAGCTTGCAACTGTCTGAAGATTCAGTGTGTCCCATTAAGACAGAATATTATTAATTATGCGTATAACCAAAATGGTAATTAGAACATGTGATTATTCTCAGTAGAAAACTAGACTTATCCATAATACATGCCTAGCTAAAGATGCATGTTGTGATTCATCTATATGATTAAAATTCAGTTTCAGCACTCACGTTATATCTTAAAATTTTAGCCCATGATGAAATCTAGACTCATTTAAGACTAAAAATAATTTTTCACATTTGAATTGTGTTTGGGGAGTTTTAAAAAATTAAAATATTTGTGATATAAAGGAATGAAATAAACATTTAAACTTTTTTCTCAAAAGGCAGATATGTCAACAGTGAGAATCAGAGGGTTACCAATAATTAGAATGTTTCTTTTCCATTTTTGGTTTGCAGTGGATTGGGGTAACTTATAATGAAAATCAGTATCATTTTGCTATTCAGCTGTTAACCCATTTTAGATGATAATATCCGAAAAGAGAGGCTTGGCCTAGCTAATTTCAAATAGATGCATAGCTCTGGTTTGGAGCTTCACTGCCTTAAGATCTTAGCTCAGATGTCAGCGTCCCAGTGAAACCTTTGTGACCATAATATTTAAAATTATAGCAACTACAACCCCAAACTGCCTCACAAATGCTTTGTCTCACTATGTCTTTTGCCCACATCGCCTATCTACCTTTCATCTCCCTTTGTTATTTACTCCAGAGCAGATGTCATCAACTGATACATGATCTACTTTATTTGTTGACTGTCTCTTTGCTCCCTGCTCTCGAAAGAGTACCAGTTAAATCCATAAGGACAGTTCTGAGTGTTTCCTTCACTGGTGCAAAGGTGCTCTAGTGCCAAGAGCAGTATGGTCCACAGTTGGTGCTCAACAAATATCTACGGAATTAAAAAATAGTAATTAGTCCAATAAATTAAAAAATAAGTTGTATGGGACCTGAGATATGAGTTCAATTTCTAAAACAATTTCTTAATAAGAAATCTTAGCATTTGAACCTCCATCAAGAAAAATTAAATTGAAGAGGAAACTTCAAAAAACGTATTTGGATTTATTCTACCTTCTGAAAAATGTTTACATTTCTTCCTGATAATTCTCTCATCCCACTGGTTAATTTTATATTATGTTGCTTTGATTGTGTCTGCTTTATTGGGTTATACTGTTGTTCTTTTATTAATATAAAATAATTACTTGTATTTTAAGGAAGGTAAAGCTTGATAAAGGGAAATTGTTTCTCCATCTGTTCAAAAATCTTATGAGTTATTGTTACTGTCTTAATGAACGTGTGCTTGGTATACTCACTAACAGAACAAAACTCCACTTTTCAAACTTCTTTCTGTTCTGAGTACATCTGTAGAATATGCTTATCCTCTCATTTGTAAGAGGTGGTTCTCTCTGGCAGCGACTCTCAAGAGAGTGCATGTATAATGTGAAAAATTCCCCCTGGTGATTCTAACATATCCTCCTAGGAGAATACTGCCCAGCTCTATGTTCATACAGAATATGTGCTCTCCTATCTTTTTCCTTTATTTGAGAAGCACTGTTTCTAAAACAGTAATAAATTTGTATGATAAATTTTTATTTTCAAGGCATATTTATATGCATTTCTAACTCAAACCTTGCAAACCTCTCTGAGGGAGGTAGAAAGCAGGCTTTTGTTTTCTATTTCATGGACGAGAGGCAGTATTGTTTGGTGGATGCAAATACAGCCTTGTACTATTAGGAATGTTGTCAAATGTAAATAACATACAGTCTGACTAACAGAATTATTAAAAATACAATATTATTTTTTCTCACATAGCAAGAAGACTAAAAGTACAGTAGGTGATTACTGTCAGTGGTTTAGTGGCTCAACTTTTTATGCAATTTCTCTGCTACTCCTTCACTGTTACAAGACAGCACAAGATTTTCATATACATTCAAGTCAGAAGGATGGGATGACCCTGCAGAATCTGATGTGTAAATACCTTCCATGCGTTCATAGCCAAGCCTTGAAGGTTTTCTCCCATTCAAAATATTTCTAATATATTTAACTACTTATATATTTTTAAAGAAGAGAAAGCCTTCCAAAGAAGCTCTAAATAAATTTCTATTTATGTCCAAGAAACCAGAAGGCAGTCATGTGTTCATCCATCTTTACAGTGACTCAAAGGAGAAGTGAGTTAGGACTGAATGGATATTGGCTTCACTAATTAATAGTGCATGCTATAAAAGTCGGATTCTAATTTCAGTTTTGTCAGTTGCTAACCATGTGGCCTAGATCTCGGGGTTTTCATTTCTAAAACAGAGAGAATGCTACTACTATCTAAAAGAGATGTTGAAATGTCTAGTTAGAAGTGTTAAAATACTTTGGACATAGCACTTACTGAATAAAAGAAAAAAGAAAAAAGAGCTATCATTTTAGTCCCTCTTTTCTTGATAGAAAGTAATTTAGTTGTGTAATCTCAGGAAATGATTATATTTTCTTACTACTTTAATCTTTATTCTTGGGCTTTGGCAAATAACTCTCAACATTTAAGGACTTTTGTTAGATTTTATTAGAACTTTTATCAACTTACAAACCCAAAATTTTCAGCTACAAACTTCATCATTTTGTTCTGCTTCCTCCAGTAGTATTAATCGTGCATCTCCTCCTGTACATCCCCATCATATAGATCAGTGATTCAGCTCTCTGTCCTTTCTGTGGCCTTTCTCTCCTTCCATTGATCCAGTATTTTCCTAAAACTGTATACAGATTTAATGCAATCCCAATCAAAATACTAGTAACATTGCTCACAAGACTAAAGTAAACAATCCTAAAATTCATGCGGAACCAAAAGAGACCCAGTATAAGCAAAGCAGTCTTGGACAAGAAGAGCAAAACAGGAGCGATCCTAATACCAGATTACAAGTTACATTACAGAGGACTTCCAGGAAGATGGCAGAGCAGTAAGCAGCAACAGATCAGGCTCTCCAAGATTTGGAATCCAGGTGCTAGAAAATAAAACCTTGGGGGAGAAGGGAGCTGGATCCATGAGACCCAAGAAGAATTTGGGAAAATTGGAGCCTACAGAGAAGCTGAAGAGACAGATCTCAATGCAGAAAAAGGAAGGGGCAACCTGAACTTTCTCCTTGGCTCCTGGCCTGTGGTGTAAGAAAGGAAAATCAAATCTAAAGAGGCACAGTGAAAGCAGAAGACTGCAGTAGCCTTCAGAGAGAAGCACACCAGTGGAACAGAGTGAGTCCAGTCCGAGTGACTGCTGTATCTCCTGGAAAAAGTACCTGGTGAGATGCCATTTTAGGGAGGGGCCAACTGAACCTGGGACTCAGAGCAGCCACTGGTTGGCTTCAGCTCAAGGCTCCCAGTGTTAAAGTCCCATAGTAACTGGATGAGGGACAGCCATAGGAGATGCCCATGGTCAGGGAGCTATGATAAGTGACACAGGCCCCACCTCCATGACCAGACGTCAGGCTCAACCTGAATTTCTGTGGATTTGAAAGTCCCAGAACCAGCACCCTACCTTAATCTGACTTGGGGCTTGCTGGGATTATGCTGCACAGATCTGGGCTCTGCTGCCTGCCTTGGGTGCCAGTGAGAGCAAAGTCAGGCTTTGAATTAGACATCTGCTACAGAACTGTGGACTCCAAAAGATAACGACAGGCTTGAAATCATGCAGGAATTTCTTCTGTCTTGCTTTTTGGTTTTTCTGTCCTTGTTCTTTGATTTTTTTTTGTGAGGTAAACATTGTTTTAGGTTTTATATTTTGTTTTGTTCTTGTTATGTTTTCTCATTCCTCTCCCTCCCCCCATCTTCTTTACCAGTTTCCCAAGCCTTGGGTAATTGTCCTTTGTTCTTCAACCTTGTTTCTAATTTATTTCTCTTCTTTCATTTCTCTATTTTTTCCTCTACTCCCTTTTAAAATTTCTCCCCTTATGTTTAAATGCTCTATTGAGTGCATATTTACTGTATATCATTCTCATATGTCTTAGATTTTGTAATATAACCATAAATTATATACCAATGGTTAAAGGCAGCAAATTATTAGTTATCAGTTTGTCATGTTCGAGTCTGTGTTTGATATTATTGTTATTACTGATTGTACTACTTTAGCCAAGGTGACAGAGATGTGTAATGTATTGATTTTCCTTATGTGCTAATACCTAGATTGTCTGGGGTCATAAACAATACTACAGTGTGGTACCAAAGAACTGGATGCTAAGCCAAACAGGATGCCATCTTTCTTCCCTAATAAACAGAAGAGGCAGGATCCTGGGACAGACTCAAAGGCCAAAAGTCAGCTATACTTAGAAGACATCTCAGAAAAGTAGTCACTTCCTTAAGAAGTCTTGAAAGTAGTAATAAAGCTACCATAAACAATTTATAAAGCTCAATGTAGAAAACAAATGATAACAAAAACAAACAAAAAACAGAAAGTGAGAAAACATGGAAGCATGATGAAACCCAACACTCCCAGCTTTCCCAAGGCAAATCCAGGGAGCATTGAAGTAGAAGAAATCAAAAGCCACCCAGCTAAACTTTCTGAAATGGTAGCTATGGAAGTAACAAAGCAGATTAATAGTCTGTTGACAAAAACAAAACAAAAATAATTACGCAGATAAAGAGATGATGACCATAATGAAGGAAATGGTTAATCATTGTAGAGTAGAGAGAGAGGAAAAACAAGGGAACTTAATATACAGCAGAGT